AGTAGTAGCAATATCACCTTAAAATTAACAAGTCCAAACATATAATATTAACAGTTCAAATTAAGTTAACAAGACAACAACTACTCAATCCTTATAGGCTTCACCAAATAAACTGGATGTTGTTTGTCAATTGCCTAACCTGAAAAGAAAAAAAAAACCATAGAGCAAAACCTTGATCTGTGCATGGGCAATACTAACACAAAAATAAAAAAAACACCTAGAAGGCAAGAAGATGTTGTCCTATTGTCAAAGCTCAATGTTCTGTACAGAAGAATAATGTTAAAAAATAAACCCTAAACTGACGAAGATTGTCGATTGAGAATTGATAAGTGCGAAGAGAAACTGGTAGTAGGTATAGGTAGCACAACGTGAGCTCACAAAATCAAGAAATGAAAATAAAGCAAAATAAAGAATCATTAACAGTTAAAAATACCAATATGAAGATGAATTTTGTTATAGAAGTTAAAAGCCTAATGTATAAGACTAAAGACTTACGCTAGGAGTAACTAGAAAGGTCTATAAAGAATGAAGATGAAACAACTAAACAGTTCGGTTAAGAAAGAATAGGAGAGAATGAACTGAAACCCTAGCATATGTACATACTTAAGGATAAAGTCGTAATTTTATTAATTCTTATTTGGTTATCGGTTAACCCATTAACAAGATTGGCAAACCGAGGCACGAACTGATAACCCAATAGTGAAAAAATTCTAAACCGTTACCGAACCGTTAACCCAATAACCCGATACCGATAACCGAATAAACAATTAACGGTTCGGGTTATCGGTTTTACCTGATATATGTCCAGCCCTAACCCCACCACCCCTAATCCACCCCAACATCGCCCCCACCCTAAATAGAAATTTTATTAAGAGTATTTTCTTTTCACGTTGTAAATAGAATACTTTTTTATTTCAACAAATGAGTATATTCTTTTATAATGTAGAAAAGACATTTTCTTTCATTACGACAAAACAAGTACTTTTTTCATAGTGTAGAAAAAAAATTCTTTCATTTCAACAAATTAAGTATTTTCTTTACTAAAATAGAAAAAGTATTATTTTTTCAACAAAATGAGTGCTTTCTTTTCATGATGTAGATAAAGTATTTTCTTTCATTTAAACAAAACGAGTACTTTCTTTTCAAGATGTAGAAAAAATATTTTCTTTTATTCAACAAAATGAGTAATTTCTTTTAATGGTTTTGAAAGGATACTTTCTTTTTCAACAAAAAAAGTATTTTCTTTTTAGTTATCGAACTCAAATTTCAACATTTTTCTTGTATGAAAAAGTAAAGTAGCACATTCGTTCCTTTGGATTTGTGTGAATTTTAAAAATAATAATTATATTCTTGAAAAAATAGAGTTTCGGAGGGGGAGAGGAGAAGGATATTTTTTTCAAAATAATTTTTTGAGGAGAATAGCATAAAAAATTATTTTTTTTCAAAATATTTTATACTCTCTAACCAAGCACTAAAAAATATTTTTCGGAAAAAGTTTTTTATTCACCAACCAAACAAGGAAAAATAAGTGGTAAAACCATTCATTTTAGATGAAAACATTTTCCTGATCGTACCAAACACACCTAGAAAGTCGTCATGGTATTTTCTTCTGTGGTTTTTCAATAAGAAGTCATAAGCTGCATTATTTTTGCTTGGCTCTTTTGCTTGAGAACGAGCAATGTTTAGTGCAGGAACATTTGATTGATTCAAGCATATATGGATGTCGTAATTTCCGAAGTCGGCGTCAGGATTCGCAACTAATGGATTCAGAATTCTATTACTTTTTAAGTTATTAGGTTCTAAATTAATAATTAGTATATATTCATTAACCATTTAAAATTAAATACACAATTTAGACCAAAACTACTAGATCGGTCGAACCCTCCGCCCCTGGTAATAATCAAAACTTTACTTTGTGGTTCACACCCACTTTTGGTGTTAGATCTTAGGTCCTTTTATTTATTTTTATTTTTTATCTAGGACAAAATCAGAAAAAGAGAGTGAAAAACGAAAATGTTGGCTTGGCTCCCCATAGAAAAGTTTGCTTTTTCATCCGACAACAGTAAAAGTTAGAAATATTCTAAGGTATGAGTCATAAAGGCTGTCAAAAGAATAAGTAATCCCTATAATAACTTACAGAGAAAAGTGGTGAGAATCTTTTTACAAAAGGGCTCTTTATCTTCCTCTTCTTTCCTTTTCTCTGAAATGCTGGTTGGTCTTTTCCTTATCATTTGAGATCGGAGAATTTGAGGGCTGATGTTGCTTCCCATTTTTTTTTGTCTTCTTTAATTAACTTATTCCATCAGTACCAGAAAATACCATAAAATTTTCAAACATGATTTTTAAAATTCCCAAATATCATAAACATTATTGAAAAATGCTGTCACTTTAAGGGTGTGTTTGGTATAAAAGAAAATATTTTCTGTGGAATATTTTCCAAGAAAATATTTTCTTGGAAAATAAGTAGTAATCTTATTCATTTTCCGTTGTTTGGTACGCAAATTTAGAAAAATTATTTTTCAAGAGTATTCATAAATAATTTAGATAAAATAAACATGAAGCCATAAACTTTCGAACCAACAACCTTTCGAACCCACAAATTTCACAAACTTTCAAACCCATTAACTTTATAATTTCTAAACCCGTAAACTTCCAAACACATAAACCTCCGAACCCATAACTTTTAAAACTTCTTTTTGTACGGGGTGGGGGTGTGGGGTGGGGTGGGGGGGGGGTCAATAGGGTGGGAAGTGGGTGGTGCAAGAAAATTGAAAATAGAAATTTGAATNTAATGACTATTTATACCGGAACAAACGGCTATCTTGATTCATTAGAAGTTGGACAGGTAAGGAAATTTCTTGTTGAGCTACGTACTTACTTAAAAACTAATAAACCTCAGTTCCAAGAAATCATATCTTCTACCAAGACATTTACCGAGGAAGCAGAAGCCCTTTTGAAAGAAGCTATTCAGGAACAAATGGACCGTTTTATACTTCAGGAACAAGCAAAGAAATATTGATCTACTTTTGTCTTAATACTTAATAAAAAAAAGGAATCAAGCGTCTTGGATTCAAATATTCAAACAGTCTTTCTTGCTATCGAAATCTAAAAAATATATATATATGGAAATAAATTGCGTCCAATAGGATTTGAACCTATACCAAAGGTTTAGAAGACCTCTGTCCTATCCATTAGACAATGGACGCTTTTCATTCTGATTTTTTTTCGTATTTTAACTTTTTGTTTGAAAAAAGAAAACAGAAAGAATCGGATGTGAAAGAATTTTTGGAATTGTATATTCAATGATGTACTAATACTAATAAACTAAATTTGATTTAATGAATAGATTAAAATATTTAGAATAAATAGATATAGAGCGGGTAGCGGGAATCGAACCCGCATCGTTAGCTTGGAAGGCTAGGGGTTATAGTCGACGTCGATTCATTATTTTTAACGTCTCTAATTCAAAACCGAACATGAAACTTTGGTTTCATTCGGCTCCTTTATGGAGATGAGTCAATTTATAGATCTAAGATGTGAACAAAATTCGAAAAAAAAAGAATTCTACCCATAACATCTATGTCAGCTTTTGGTCTGAATACAGATAAAACGAATAGCTTTGTAGATGATCCTTCTAGAAGAGGGGGATTCTAACAACCTTTCTAGTTATTTCGTTCTCTATTTCTATTTAATAGGATCCTGAGGAAAAGGATTTTGTTTCCACCGAGCTAAAACAATATGTTGATGTCTCTAGTAAACCAAAGTCATCGTTTAATAGCTATTTTGCTTCAATTTCTTCTTTACAAATAAGAAATTGAAGATTTAGTTACGATTAGAAATCAACTTTCTATCTTCATCCATGGATCCTTTATTCATACTTATTCAATTGGAAGTATTGATCCAATTCCAAAATTATGTTTCGCAATTTCATAATCTAATTTTTCAATGTCTAAGTGACCCTTGGATACAAATCACGAGAATGTGTATTTGTTGAAAATATTTTACTCCAATTGGAGGAAAATGAGTTCATAAGGAAAACATTTAAGCCAACCAAACACGAGGAAATTGGAAAACATTCCTTGATACCAAACACCCCCTAAGTTTTCCATTGAGAGTCATTTTATCTTATTTTAAAAATACATATTTGTTTGAAAAAATGAATAGGAACGATCAAAATATAAATCACAATTTGATTAGTTTTAGTTGTTGCATTTCAAATTGACTTATCCGGTAAATACTGATGCTACATTTTGTGCAATATGTGTATGTTTTTATTGAAGTGACAACAGTAAACAATGCATACAGGTTTTTGATTAAATATATTTCTCTGCCTTATATTTTCCTTTTCTTTGTTTGGGTTTTAAGAGAAACGGGAATTTACATATTTATCACTACCACAGTTGTAGTGAGATTAATAAGATTTTTCTACTTTTAATTAGAAAGGTTTTTTTTTTTCTTTTTTCTTTTTTTGGTAATTATTTTTTAAAGAAACTTATGCAGCACGAATTTGAATTAATTAGAACTCAATAATGGCATTTAACTTGTGTTTGGACATAGATTTGATTGAAACTTGAAAAATGAGTTACGGAACTGTTAGAAAATAATTTTTGACCGTTAAAATTATGTTTGGACATGCATTTTATTTGTAGGAGAAGTTGAAGTTTTGTGAGTGGACGAAAATTGTTTTATCCAAAAATTGTACTAAACCAATTTTTGAGAATTTAATTTTTTTTTTTAAAAACTGACCATAGTCGATGAACAAATAATTTTTTTTTTAAAGAGAGTAGCCAAAATCTATGGTTAAACGGGAGTTTAATACCGAGTGAGAAATAAAAACATAATCATCCATAAAATATGAAAATGTCTTTCTGAATTCTGGGTAAGAGAAGGTCTCTCTCTTACCATGAAAAGACTTGCATTAAAAAAAAAAAAAAAAGCTTTTCCAAAGGACCTTAGCTTTTACTTCTTTGTCTGCCTTTTAATTCCCATAAATATATCATATCACTTCTGTCATTTCCCACAAAAACCTCTTCTTTTTATTTACTTATCATTCTCCTTTTATACTCAGCCAAAAATCAGTAATAGTAGTAGCTCTTTTGAAGCTGCAGTTTTCTTGAGAGAAGAACAGAGGGGTTACTGAGGGAAAATTCGAGTCTTTTTCATTTTCTTTCATTTAATACAAAACCCCATATGTGTTTTATGATCAAAGCGATATTCTGATCTGTTCCTTTTGTTTTGTGAAGAAAAAAGTTTGAATCTTTAAGAAAAAAATGATATCACTTTCAGACCTTTACCATGTTCTCACTGCTGTAGTTCCACTGTATGTAGCAATGATCTTAGCTTATGGTTCAGTAAAATGGTGGAAAATCTTCACCCCAGATCAATGTTCAGGGATCAATAGATTTGTTGCTCTTTTTGCTGTTCCATTGCTATCTTTTCACTTCATTGCTTCCAACAATCCTTATGCAATGAACTACAGGTTCATAGCTGCTGACACTCTTCAAAAAATCATAGTTCTTTTTGTTCTAGCCATTTGGTCAAGAATGAGTTCAAGAGGTTCCCTTGAATGGTCCATTACTTTATTCTCTCTTTCCACTTTACCAAACACTTTAGTTATGGGAATTCCTTTGTTAAAGGGTATGTATGGTGAAGCCTCAGGAAGTTTAATGGTCCAAATAGTTGTGCTTCAATGTATCATTTGGTATACTTTGATGCTTTTCTTGTTTGAATATAGAGGTGCAAGAATGCTTATTGCAGAACAGTTTCCTGATACTGCTGGGGATATTATTTCTTTTAAAGTGGATTCTGATATTATTTCATTAGATGGGAAAGAACCATTAGAAACTCAAGCTGAAGTTGGTGAAGATGGGAAGATTCATGTTACTGTTAGAAAATCAACTAGTTCAAGGTCTGAAATTTTTTCAAGAAAGTCACATGGTGGTCTTAATTCTGGTCTTTCATTAACACCTAGACCATCAAACTTAACAAATGCTGAGATTTATTCATTACAATCTTCAAGAAATCCAACTCCTAGAGGTTCAAGCTTTAACCATACTGATTTCTACTCAATGGTGAATGGTAAAAATGCAAATATGAGTCCTAGGACATCAAACTTTGGCAACTTTGGATTCGATGAAGAGAGTGGAACTGCTGGATTTGGGAGAGGAAATGGGGTTTATGGACAGGGGAATGCAGGGTACCCTGCCCCTACTAATGCCGGAATTTTTTCTCCGGCCACCGGTCCGGCGACAAAGAAGAAAGCTAATGGTGCAGAAGGTGGAAAAGATCTTCACATGTTTGTTTGGAGTTCAAGTGCTTCACCTGTATCTGAAGGAGGGATTCATGTCTTTAGGGGAGGTGACTATGGCAATGAGCTTGGAGTTGGAGCCCACCCAAAGGGTAAGTACACAATTTCACTATGAAAATATACCATGTTGCCACCTTTTTTTTAATTGTATTTGTTTATTTTGGATAAATGGACAATATTGTGTTTCTTGTTGTTGCTACTTGTATTTTCTGATGCAACTAGATAGATTTGTGTTTGATGAAATATGTTGTTATACTTGAGATTCTTCTATTGTTAGCTTGTGATGGGTTGAAGGGTTAGTTTGTTAAGTCCTTTTGCCTTACCGAGTTTTTTTTTCTTTTATTAGTTTCTTGTTTCAGGCATAATTTTGGCGCCTTGCATATCCAATTCCTGAAATTATGGTCATATTTTTGTCTTCTCATGAGACAGACATGCTTGTATTACTTTTGTCATCTCATGTTGCGTAGGAAATTGGTTGAGTTTGTATTGTAGCACCCCATTTTCCTTAATCATGTCTGGTAATTTTTAGTCAATCAGTTCATCAACTATGCCTGGTAATTATGTGAATCATTTGTATCCTTGTCCATTTCATTTTAGTACTAACTTAAATTATCTAGGTGTTGTCGTTGATTGAATGTTTTTATGTCCTAAAATTAGATTATGATGAATTTGGCCGAGAAGAGTTCACGTTCGGGAACAAGCAGAACCTCAATGGAAATGAAGGGCCGGTGCTATCGAAGATTGGCTCCACAACCGAGCTCCGTCCAAAGATTGCTCAAGAAGAGATCAAAGCTACTGCACTGCCACCTGCTAGTGTTATGACCAGGCTCATTTTGATTATGGTGTGGCGAAAACTTATTAGGAACCCGAACACTTACTCCAGCATCATCGGCCTCACTTGGTCATTAGTTTCATTCAAGTATGAGTATACCCAAAATTACCTTAATTTGTATGTCATTGGCTATAGTTAGACTTGTGACTAATCCTAATTGTTGCAGGTGGAATGTTCAAATGCCTGCGATTATAGCCAAATCAATATCGATTCTTTCTGATGCTGGCCTTGGAATGGCAATGTTTAGTCTTGGTATGTTCGTGATATTATCAATTACTAATCCTTTCATGGACTTACCTTCATGTTTATAGGAAAATGTTAGTGTTTTGAACTTATTCTCTACATGTAAACTGCAGGTTTGTTCATGGCATTGTCACCTAGAATCATTGCCTGTGGGAATACAGTTGCTGCTTTTTCAATGGGTGTGAGATTCCTCACTGGTCCTGCAGTCATGGCTGCTGCCTCCATTGCTGTTGGTCTCCGAGGCGTGCTTTTGCATATTGCTATTGTTCAGGTAAAAGACTGTTGATTGTGAAAACTATATACAACAACAATATCAACCCAGTAATAATCCCACTAGTGGGATCTGGGGAAGGTAGAGTGTACGCTGACCTTACCCCTACCCGTGGGTAGAGAGGCCGTTTCCGGGAGACCCTCGGCATTGTGAAAACTATATACTGAATTGAAAAATAACAGGCTATATTGCCACCATTCATATATGACTGATAAAATTTTATCATTTTTTTTCAGGCAGCTCTACCTCAGGGAATTGTGCCATTTGTCTTTGCCAAGGAATATGGTGTCCATCCTGCTATATTGAGCACAGGGTGAGGCCTCAAACAACTACCTATTTTATCAAGAAATGCAGAAAAATAACATTTTTTATTGTAAAAAATGTTGTCGAGTATTTTGGTTTTTAAATGTCTCTTAAATGTTGTTGATAATTGTAGGGTTATATTTGGGATGTTGGTAGCTCTTCCTATCACTTTGGTCTACTACATTTTGTTGGGGCTTTGAAGATCAAGCATTAATCTGCTCAAGTTTTTGTAAAGGAAAAGTTAAAGACCCTTTTGCCATAGGGTTTTTTGGCTTTTAACAGGATATGAATTCTGATCAGAAAGTGAAAAAGAAAGAGGGAGAGACAAGAATGAAAGCAAAAGTGGAATTGTGAATGGTTCATTGTTGGGTACCACAGCCAATAGAGGAATTGTAGTGGGAATTCTTTTGTTGTCTCTTTGTCCTCTCTTCCACTTTTGAACTTTGTGCTATTCTACTAGGCCTACATGTCTTTTGTTCTTTTCCATCAAGAAAGTTAAACTTCATTTTCTGCCTTCTAACTTTTGAAGGTTTCAAAAAGATACTACTAACCTAAACATTTCTGTGGGAAATGGGATGCTTTTTCTTATTTTTTTTCTTTCGCATGGTTAATGTGCTTGTTAAGTGGAAAAAAATATTAAAGACATTATTTCCTCCGGTCCATAATAAGTGACCAATTATGGAAATACTAAATTCTAGATAAAAATAGTTAGTGTGACTAAATTATCTTTAATTAAATGTTGTAGTATAGTTAATCTGAGGAGTACAAGACTTTTTAGGGATACGTACATAAGGGTGATTTTGAAAAAACAAATTGAATTTTTTCTTGATTATATAAATGGATACTTATTTTAGACCAAAATAAAAAAAAAATTGGTCACTTATTGTGACTAAAGGGAGTACTTTTTAAGTGTTCAGTGTGCTTGTTTGGTTGCTTTTTCACTCACCATCAAAATCTTGATTAAATTATGAAAACTTCGATTCTATAATATTTTCCAATGCAGTTATCATTCCTTTTATTTAAAAAATGCAAAAGAAACTTTCAAATTTTCCCTTTACCTTCTCTTCCCTACCTTACCAACTTGCAAGTATAGCTAACATTTATTGAGCTTTTCACTGTAAAGCATTACTCTTCACGGTCCAAAAGAAGTGAGTTTTTGGCATTTTTCTTGTGGTCCAAAAAAGTGATTTTTTCAGATTTCAAGAATGTATTAATTATTTTTTTCCTACATTGTCCTTGGAGTAAATAGTGTTGGAATATGTGTTACGAGTGTTTATGTGAGATAGTAAAGGTTAATATGGTCAATTCTATTGCTAATTAATGCTAAAAGGTGGACTTCTTAATCTGTGTGAAAACATTCAAAAAATCACTTATTTTGGACCGGAGGGAGTAGTATATTTTGCTTTTCATAATGGCAAGGTATACATGAACCCAAAAAGAGAATTAAATGCACGGAAAATTTTATTTTGTATCTCATATAATTGACACTAGTTGTATGAGGTATCTTTTTTGTCTCACAGTTTTGTAGATCCAGAAGTGTAAGATTCGGGTCCACAAATTTGTGAGACAAAAAGGAGTTTCACGCTCACACAACTAATGTAGTTGTGTGAGACACACAATAAAACTTCTCTGTGAACACAACAAAAGAATTAGGAGACTGAAGCTAAGTGAGAAAATAATTTTGAAAATGGAGAACTTTGATATAAAATATTTTATTATTCGGGACTATTTAAATTAGTTGGATAAATATATAGTGAAATCGTAAAAAAAGGTCGTTGAACCTGCATGGTCACTATCATAATTGTTTGTCACTTTTTCTCCACTCCCAATTTTCTTCCAGTCCCAGTGAATCTAGAGTTTCAGGATTTTCTCAGAAAAATTTAATTTTGGAGGCTCTGAGTTCTGAATTATATTTACATAAGTTGAAGAAGCAGAGATAAAATCCTATGTGCATTTAATTCTGTTTTTGGTTCTTCTCTACCTCTTATTCGTAGTTTGTAGAGCCCGTAGACATTAAATAGTCCTATGTTTCCAAACAAGTGAACAACCTCTGTTTTCTTGACAGTACAAGTAATTGCTTGCACTAAATTACAACAACTGTGTCCCAACAACTAGCAACTAGGACCAGAAGTAATTGTAACTGCCCAACCTCATACTTCTATTAATATCGTTCAATGGCTTGCATTTCACTATTGTTTACCCGTAAAACGGTATATTTGAATTTATAACGTGGTTTATAGACAAACGAATCGATTTGATCTAAAAATGATAAAGAAATACAACAAAAAATAAGATTAACAACTGAAATTAAAAAATATAACGAGCCTGGCTCTGAACTTGGTCTCTTCGAGAGCAGAAATGAAAGCAATGATAGAGCGATGATAAAACTATTAGATTAATTATAAAATAATGAAGTACAGTTTTGTGTGCAGAATATTTCATGTCCATTACAAGAGTTGTCAATATGATGTTTATAGCTATCTTTAGGGGGGGCAAGATCCTACAATCAAGCTCTTCTTGAATGAGAATAAATATGTATTGATGGTTGCATAGCGACTGGTTGTGAATGCAAATATTCTCTGTAACGACTGCTCATTAAATGTTATCCGATGTCAAGCCTTTGAGTCATTACCAACGATTGTGCTTCCTTCGAAATCCATCCTATACTAGTTACGCACTTCGTAACCGATGCTGATTATTCGTCGACACAACTTTTGTCTGTTCTCTGTTCCACGTATCACCTCGCTATTTAGCCACTTGTAATCAACCAATTTCACCCCATACTGATAGTCCTCCTACTTTCTGGTGCCGCAACTCATTGTTGCCGAGAAGTAGATGAGTATTCCTTTCTTGGCGGGAAAGTTTCTAAACGGTCTCTAACATTTGACAAGACACATGTCTTCGCATTTAATACTTCGAACACGTGTTGTCTCGTGATTCATCAAGTATTTTTGCCGAGTTTCAAGGTAATCATGACCACGATTTTTGCCGTCTATATCTTCTTCACTACTTATCATTTTTACTTCTTCATTTTTACTACTCTTACAATCCCTTTCTTTATTTGAATTTCCTTAGAGCTTTTCTACAACCTTCAACTTTCATAGTAAGAAAATCTTTTCCTATCTTTTACTACCATATCTTCTTACACTGCTCCCTTCGGAAACACTGGTCTTTTCTTTAGTGGAGGCACGAAGAAAAACAAAGCCAGGGAGGTTGATGTTGAGTCTGATCCTCCAACTGTTAACACCATCATACCACTCCATCTCAGCATTGCAAATGATTTTCAAGAACAACCCCCTTCTGCAACTTCTCAAAGCCACCGGTTTTGGCCATTTCGCAGGTACCCCTCCTCCATTCGTCCTTCTAGTATCCCTACTGTGGGCTGCAACTTCCCCAATGTTGAAATTCTCTCCCCAGATATGGCAGAGCGAGTTACTTACTCCAGGGAGGGGTTTACGTATGTCTATACATATCCTTTTACTTTGGGTCCCTTCTCTTGGGGGTCGAGTGAAGGGCTCGACCCAATAATTTTAGAATTTTGCCACTACTACTAGGTTTGCTTAGCACAAGTGGGGCCATCGATATGGCGCATGGTGGCTTGCCTTCGTCAGCTGTGCAGTGAGACCAAGAAAACCCCGACTCTTGCTCATATGATGATCCTCTACTCCTCCAAGATTTTCCACAGGGGAGTGTTAAACATCAGCAATTGACTACGCTCTTCTAACCAGTGTATACGATGACAACAATCGTGGATGGATGGAACGTTAATCATTATTGCTAATAGGGACATTATCTCGACCACAACTCCAGCTTTCCTTGAGTCATGGAATATTTTCTGTATGTCTTCGTTTATTTGCTTCCTTTCTCCGTAAAAAAGGTAATTTCCTGTTTTGCTATTTTTTTCTTTTCCGCCATCCTTCATTTCAGCTACCTTCTGGGAACTACCACGGGAGCACGAGCCGGACCAATGGGTTCAGAAAATTCTGGATATTACAACTCCGGAGTCTCGTCGGTTGAAAGAAGTGGCTCCCAAATACGGGTGAGGAGCTAAAAACCATGGTGAGTAAAATTTCTTTCTTCTCCTTCTCTTTTTTTCATCTCACTAGTTAAAGAGCTACTTACTTAACCATCTTTTCGCCTGTGTAAGGCTCCCAAGGGGTTCCGTCACCTGCACCGATGTCGACATACTAGATGTCTCTAAGGAGGCCAGGAGGGTGTTGCGAAATATTGCCCTTGCCCGAAGCAGAGCTCATGGATCTGCCCGAGCCGCTGGTGAGTGTGCCTCCTCTCGGAGTCCCCAGTCTAAGAATAAGAAACCGAAGAGAAGACGTTCTTTCTTGGCCGGGACTCAGGAGAAGAGAATAAAGAAAACACCAATTGAGCTGGCCACAATCACAGTGGTCCTCGATGATGAAGGAGAAGCCACTGATGAAGAGGCTTCCATTCAAAGGAGAATATCTTCATCATCTCAACCGGATGCTCAGTCGGGGGAGCTCCAAAATCCTTCATCAGAGGATGTTCAGGTGCTTTGGGGGGAGATGGGTTTAGTTGAAAATTCTGATTCCCATTTTTCGATCCATGCCAATGCTCCCGGTTTGGGGAGTTCGGCCCCTGATCGTATCACCGACGACTGAGCCGGCCTCAACTGCTGCCCCCTCCATACCGGCTACCTCTTCACCATCTACATCAATAGCTTCCTACATATCAACACCCATTATTCCTTCTGCACCGATACTTACCGCATCCCCTCCGCGTGCCCCAGCTGCTCAAGAAAGGAATGATTCTCCCCCTCGGTCTCCCGACCACATGAACTTGGGGAACAATTACTTAACACTTTCCCAAGATCGCCAAGAGAGGCGAAGTGCCACTCTTTCGATTTCGAAAAAGTGTTATATTTTATCCAAGCCGTTGGAGCTTTCTAATTATCTAATGTCGCTGGCTTTAGAGAAGGATTAGAAAAAGATGGGCTCCCTTTTTAGGGAGTGCCTGATAAATAATAGCATGCACATTGCGGCACAGGTATCATCCTAATTTCATTCTATCTTCTTTACCGTTTACATGTTGCCATGATAACCTTAACTTTAACCTTTTTATGCTAACCTCCTTGCTTTTGAGGGCCTATCCCAAGAATTTTTCCTAAACTCCATAGCCTCTGGAAGATAAGTACAGAAGTCTCTGTACCGATCCTCCAGACTCTACTAAGCTTGCTCATTACTCGTGAGACCTAGGCAACCTAATACTCTGATACCAGCTTGTCACAACCCGAAATTCCCACCCTCAGGACCGTGATCACACCTAATATTTTACTTACTAGGCAAGACAACGTTAGCTATATCTATTAACCATTTTTAACAATTTCCAAATTTAACGGCAACACTAATATTGAACAGTCTCAAATAAGATAATAAACTAATAAATGACGAAATTCGATTACAAATCTCAAAACTGTTATCACGAATACATGAACGTCTAGAATACTAATGATAATGGTCTGAAAAAAACATAACTGTCCGAAACAAGATAAACAGCTAAAAGGATGTAGAAGTGACTTTGGGGATGCAAACACCGTGCAACTATACCTCAAGTCT